AGGGAGAGAGAGAGGGAGGGAGAGAGAGAGAGGGAGAGATAAAAATGAAGTAAAATAAACATGATTTTGCTGCACCTTTTCATGAGATTACTAAATTTCCTTCCTTCCCCCCCCCCTTTTTTTTGCTTCAGCACTTTTTTCTCCATTTTTTTCCGAGTTTTTAAAAAATTGGGGAGAAAAATGTATTTTTTATCTTGAACAGCTTTTTAAAATAAAATTTAATTAGAAGTCAACAGTATTAAATAAATAATAAAATCTCTTATGTAAACCACCAATAATTAATAACCCATCAACAATGGTCATGATAGATGGTTTTATGAGGTAAATATTTTTTCAAGGAGTTTCATATTTCTCCCCCCTTCACATCCTTCATCATAAAGAAAACGCATGGGAAAGAAAGAAAGAAGAAAGGGAGGGGGGAGGGAAGGAAAGGAAAAAGGCCAGATGAGGCAGGGAGGAGGAGGGGGAGGAAGAAATTTGTTTGGAAGAAACTGACCCCGAAGCAGAAGAAATTATATTTCTAGTGAAATCCGAATACAATCAAAACTGAAAATGTCTTAACATTTAAACTATTTATTGTCTAAACATTTATAAGACTTACCATTGATGACACTATCAGCAGCAATATGTTTCATAATAACATCATGTCCTTCATTCACATGTCCCGCTTTAATGAGATACCAAGCAGCTTTTGAGTACCTGCAACAAAACATGAATTGTAATTTTTTTTGAATTTATTTTAATGTAAGTTTGTGAGACCAAAATGGGCTACCATTTATTCCTATTAACTGATTTTATAGAAAACACTACATTTTAATACTATGTTAAAATTAATAGAATGAATGCTTATCAGTTACCAATTGTTCATTACAACATTTACAAGACCAACTATAATACAATTGTTTAAGTTACTCCTTAAGTCCTCTACAACATAAAGGTACAGATCATGATAAATATAAAACTTTTCAATATCATTTTCAGAAAAATGTTTAACTCTGATTAGACAAGGAATTGTGATTGTATTTTTACAATTGTGAAACCTCTCTAATTTTTTTGGTTTTGAAGAGTAAATTTTGAATGGCTTGAAACATTTTTGTTGTTTTCAATTTTCCTTATAGTGCACTTTTCAGTTGTAACGTTTTTACAGCTCTTCCTTTTGCGCAATGCCATCGCAAAGGTTTAGTGAGTCGATTACACATTTTCTAAAGAAGAAAAGGCAAAACTATGTAACCTTGTATTTTTTTCCAACCCCAATAAATAAATTTTTAAAAAAGTATACATATACATATACATACATACATATACATACATATACATACATATATACACATACATACATATATACACATACATACATATATATACATACATACATATATATACATACATACATATATATACTACTAATATATATACCTACAATACATATTATACATACATACATATATACTACATACATACATATATATACATACATACATATATATTACATACATACAAAAATAAATTTAAAAAATAAAACTCATCTAACCAAATTACAAAAATACATTTAAATTTATTATAAAAACCAATTAAATTAAATTTTTTTTTTTATCTGATTTTGTGTGTTCACAACAAACATGGTTCTCTGATCATCTCTATTAGAATAGGGAGACACAGGAAATCAGTTATCTGACCATTGCTGTGCGAGATTAATGTAACCCGTTTTGAGCAGCGTCCATATGCAAAGATAGTTTCCCATGGGAGAAATGCTAGAGAATGTCACAGGGAATTGGTGGAAGCTCTTGGGAATAATGCTTTTTTATTTCAGTTGCTCGATGTATTTCAGGACGCATGGCAACCTGTGATCAGCAATGCACAGGACAACCTGTCACAGATGCACTTTTAATTGAGCACCTGCTGGAGGGAGACACATGATGGACGCTACTGGAGTCAATGAGCAAAAGTGGTATTGGCTCAGTCAAATGGTAGAAAATTAGAGAAAGTTTTGGTGTAGTTTTGATATTTGGTTCCCTTTGTATGCTTTTTTGACACTAAATACAAATATCAGGTTTGCCAACAAAAATTTTGCTTGGAAACAAGTTTTTTAAGCAAAACTCATCCCTTTTTTCAGTTTTTCCAAAAAGACTTCATCTCAATAGAAAATAAAAACTAGCAATTATTCTGTAAATATTAACCTGATATGAAATTAAAGAGAATAAAATTTCCTTCATTTTGTGTGCCCGAAGTTTTCTTCTAGGATCAATGGTATCGCTGTGAGGAAAATATGCCTGGATGTTACTCTGAAAATGGCACACCACTTAACCTTCCTAACTCACTCCTATACATAATTTACATCCAATGAAGTTGTATACAAATAAACATAGCGCTTTGTGAATCAGTTTATATCTTAAGGTGGTTCTTGTTTGGTCCTGATCTTCCACAGACAGAAGTTAGGTGACCCTTCTAGATGGCTCCCACAGTATTTTTCCATTCTTCTCTGTTCTCTGCCTTCCACATTGCCTCTTCCAGGTTCATACCAGTGAATGTTTTACATTGGTCTATCCATCTCATGGCTGTTCTTCCTCGGCCTCTTTTTCCTTCTACTTTACTTTGGACTATCCGTTTCTCAAGCCATACTCCATTCCTTCGTACTATGTGTCCCAGGAAGCTCAATATCTTTTGCTTGCAAATGTCAGCCAACCTCTGTTGAATTTTTAGTATATTTATGATTGACAGGTTAGTCTCTCTTTCTGTCCATGGAACTCTCAACTGTCGCCGGTAGGCCCACATTTCAAATGCATTAATTCATTTTATATCCGTTGTCTTAATAGTCCAGGTTTCTGCTCCATATAACGTCACAGAGAAGGCTAAAGTCTTAAGTAGTCTTAGTTTGCTATTTCGGGATATGTGGTCATCTTTCCAAATTGGGGTAAGCCTACTCACTGCCTCTCTTCCTAGAGCAATTCATCATCTTATTTCTTTAGGTGATCCTCCATCGGCCTGAACTAGGGAGCAAAGGTAAATAAATCCTGTCACTTTTTCATAATCTATTAATGCGTTTGATGGTGGGAGAACTTTTCCTTTATCCACTATCATTACCTTAGTTTTGGCCTTATTGATAGTCAGTCCATATTTGTTACTAGTCTTCTTTATTTGTTTTATTAGTTGACTCATTTCTTCCTCCAAAGTTCACAGTGTGGTATCATCAGCAAATCGTAAGTTGTTGATCCTTTCACCTCCAATTATTATTCTGCCATTCCAATTGTCCAAGAATTCTCTCAATATTTGTTCACTATAGATGTTAATTAAGTAGGAGAGAGTATGCAACCTTGTCTTTCACCTTTCCTGGGTTTTAATTGCTCTGACATCGAATTATGTGTTCTTACTACTGCCCTTGAGTCTCCATATAGATTCCGAATTAGGTGAATCAGATGTACAGGAACCTCCATATCTTGTAGAATAATACAAAGTATCCTCCACTGAATGCAGTTGAAGGCTTTATTTAGTCTACGAAACACAGTACTAATAGCTTACTGAATTTCTTGTTCTTTTCTATAAGTTGTCTGACATTTAAAATCTGTTCCCTTGTTTCTCTGCCTTTGACAAATCCAGCTTGTTTTGGCGGTATTTGGTAATCTAAGTAATACCTAAGTCTTGCATGGATAATATTCAATAAGACTTTTGATGCATGTGAGATGAGTGATATAGTACGATAATTACTGCAGTTGTCTGTTCTACCTTTCTTGTGAAGAGGAATAAAGACTGATTCAGCCTAATCTCTTGGCCATATGCTTGTGGACCACACTTGATTACATAGTTCCCATAAAATTTGTACTCCTTTTTCTTCAGCTATCTTTAGCATTTCTGCTGTGACTTCGTCAGGACCTGGTGCTTCGGTGCCTCGTTACGCAAAAACTGGACGGTGAAATCGATTCAAACTCTACCAGAACATAGATGAACCTCTCATCTTTCGATTTATACAATAAAAAAGGCATGTTAAACATAACACTTATCTCGCTCTAACCACCTTAATTGGAAAAACAAACCTAGATAATAAACAACATGAAGGAGAAAATTAATATTTTGGAAGACCATCGAGCCTCCAGTGAGAGAGTAGGTTTTGAAGATCCTGGTTCTTATAGACATCTACGTATTTATGGCATTAGTGTTTTTGTAACTGGATGACTTATAAGTTATTTTGAATTATCTGAAAAAGTTCTTGGGATATTATATAATTTTGGCTTTATAAATGTGTTTCCAGACAAAGTTATTGTTGTTAAAGCATTCAAACTAATAACATACAAGCAATTCAGAGACCAAGTTCAATACATTATTAGTGTCTGGTTTTTATCTCATACAAGAGAGAAGTTTATCAGTGACAATTATGTTGAATATGAGTCAAAATATCAATTACAAGCAGATCCACTTAAGATTTTTTATGGTTACCCTAAAGAGCAAACAGAATTAAAATGTTTAAAAAATTCGCATATCGCGCAAAATGACAATGATTCACAGGATGTCTAAAGAAAATGTTCTTGCTAATACAAATAATAAAATACCATTAATAGGAATGTTCATTACAAATTTTTTATAAGCAGGAATGACATGCAAATAAGTGAAGGACAATGCAGACACTCGAATAACGAGCCACTACTTTGTCCTTAGATGAAAAATGCTTGTGTCCTTGCGCTTTGACCACAACTTGTTAGTACCACCTGTTCCACCAGTTTTACTGAAATTTTATTTCTGCAAAGCTCCAAAAACTGCTCAGAAAGTGACTGTAAGAAGACAGGGATTAATGATACAACTTGTATCTCAACTACGAAAAGTGTTGCGACAATATGAGTCGTCTCTGAAAAGGCAAGGAGAATGAGAACAAGGAACATGGACAATGAGATGAAGCTACTGAATCTGATGAACCAATGGAAGAGGATTTTGGTATTCTTGAAGATATTAGATAATGCCAAGTATTCAAAACAATGTAATATTCTCAAATAATAGTAATAAAAGATTCGTTAACGCCATTATTTTGTATGTCGCAGAAGACTGTGAAAACCAGGGCCTTCGACACCTACAATGCATGACCACCGACCCAAAAAACATGTAGGAACCAAATATCAAAACTACACCAAAATTTTCCACCATTTGCCTTTTTTGAGCACCTTTTGACTGGACTATATGGAGAAACATACAGTCAGTGTTTGTTAATCACAATCATCTATTTGACAGGGAAAGGAAAGAATTATATACATGGCGTATTCCTATCCTGTCCTGCTCTGACTGATTTCATCTTGAGCTGTTCCACCTGTACATCTCCCTCCTGCCCTGCCTGCATGTTTGCACCATTATCACTGGTACCATCATCTTTGCTATTGCATCTGTAGGCAGATGTATTGTTGCATACTCCCAGCAAACTCCAGAAACAATATTTTGATTTTCCATTTCTCAGAGCCTATTTGCACTAATGGAATGAATGAATTAAAATGTATTTAGTACAGTTTTCTGGCCTTTCAGAAACATTCAATTATCTTTATATTGGTAGTTTTACTCATTTCCAGATATCTGAAAAAAACTGAAGGAGAGCACAATCACACTTTGCATTAAAGTGTGGGAAAGGAAAATGGGGGTAGTAACAACATCTCATGTAGATAGAAATTTCAATGATTTTGACAATCATGCGTTCAAAATTTCATTAAGGTCAGAATAAAACTATAGATTTGCAAACAAAAGCAACAAAGCAAACATTGTTCTTTATATAAGAATCTGATATTGGGAAAAAAAAAAACTGTAGCATGATTTATATCCAAACATAGTCAAACTTCCAGTGATATGCGTGCTGAAATAAGTTCCACTGTTCCAGGTATTACCCAGTACAAAGATAAAATAAAAATTGTCAAAACAATTAAATTGTTTTTCATATTAGCTAAATAACCATATGAGATTTTAAAATAGAGAATTTTTTGAAATAGCAAACAAACACTGCAAATTTTATTTACAGATATTCTTTCTACAAATACTCACTGTTGTTGCACAGAAGCTAGTGTAGCTTTTGCTTCGTAAATCCACTTTGATGGTATTTTTAATTTGTCAGTTAAAAAGTCCTCTCGGTCCAAGTACATATCACTGTCAGATAGCTCTATATGTCGGCCGATCATGTCCAAAACGGCTGCTTTACGGCTGAAAAGAAAAAAAAAATTAATTGTAAAGTAAAAGTATATATCTGTTCAAATATCATACATGATAAAACACATATAGACCTTGCAGTATTTTTTAAGTGCAGCAAAACAAACACTGCCCAATGCCACAATCCTTGGGTTTCCAATTGAAGAGCAAAACTTGTGTGCAAATGAGCAGCAGAATACTCAGAAAGGTGCGAATAACCTAAAGATGTAAGCACCTGATAAATAAACCAACTAAAAGGAAAGAAAAGAAAATATATTGTAAATAATAGAAATTCTTTTAATAGTTTACATCATAGTCATCCATTTATTTCCAGTTATGCATAAATTTCCATTCATTAACAAATATAACACAATCATAAATTGCCAACCTGAGTCGGTAATCCAGTGGATCAGCAGTATGTGTAGCTGGATTTAATAATTTGTCTAAAGGATATGAGTGAGAGCTAAAGAGTTTTAATAAATGGTAGCAAAGGTCATAGACTGGTTGTCCATTACTAGTTTGTGATTCTTCATCTGGATCTATATACGGTGGATTGGGTTGTCGAGCATAATTATTTTTAGGATCTTCAGAGCTAAAAGCATTGTCATATTTCTGTAAAGCATCCATGACAGAAGCAACAGGAGAGCACACATACCTGCAAAATTAATTATTGCCAACACTTTAAAAAAATTCTAAAATGATCAGAAACATTTGTGGAAAAAAAATTAAATGCCATGCAGAATCATATTTTACCATAAATGCATTGCAAAACATCGCTTCCACTCCAGATTTTCGCAAATATTAATTGAACCACGAGATGACGAAAACAGTGGTAACCCAGCAACCAACATTAACATTTTAAGTCGATCTTTGTTTATATAGGAGTCTGCATGAACCTCTTGCCAATACACCAACTGACGATGTACTAATTGACGAACACATTGACTTCCACCCATTTGGGATAAAAGCATTACAGCATAGTGGTCACCTGCACATGAAGGTAAAATTAAAAAGAAAACTATCTAAATAATATAACATGTTATGTAAACGTTACATCCATACCATATGTGTGTATATATACATAAACATACAAACTGTTTTATTCGTTATTCATATGCATACACACACATACATATGCATACATATGCATACGTATGCACACATACATATGCATACATATGCATACGTATGCACACATACACATGAAGAGCATGCAGAGTATTCACTTGAAGTGACCCTTAACAAATTTTCAATTTGCGAATATTTGTTTTTTCGTTATCACATTGAAACCAGAGTAGAAATGCTGGATATAAGAAATCAAAACAGGATTGCCCTTGAACGAGATATACACACTACGTTTCTAATTATGTAACGCAAGACGAGTTGGAAATTCAATTTGTGAAACATTACATGTTAAATCATTGCACATACCAATTTCAACTCCTCTCTAAAGTTAACTTCCAGATGTTCAAATTCCAAACCTATTACAAAAATAATACAGTGATACCTCCTGAACCAGCCACCTTGATTAAGCAGACCATAAGTGTCCACTTAAAACAAGTTTTACTATACTGAAATTTTTCATGTGCCTTTAATACATTTTAGTATCTAGTGAACTAATAAAATGGATATATTCAATTTTATATCTACGATAAAAAAAAAAAAATACATATGTTTTTTTTATAACTACGATAAAAAAAAATATTACATATGTTTTTTATAACTACGATAAAAAACATTACATATTACATATGTTTTTTATAACTACGATAAAAACATATTACATATGTTATTCTAGTTTAAATAGATATCCTGAAGACTTTTGCAGAATTAGGTAATAAGTTTTACTAGAGATCCCACCTTACATTAAATCTGTACATTATATTCAAATCCCATTACAAGAGTATTTTGATCCGAGGCATAGTCAGAGAGTATGGTTTCACAGTGGCTACATTGTGGTGTGTACAGTGTTGCATGCTATGTAAAATAATAACCGGTAATTTCTTAACTTTCACAACAGTTGATTTAATTTACACAATTGATAAGAATTAATATCAGCAACAAGACAAAACTTACCACAACTTTGAGCTTTCCTACAAGCTTCTAACAAATTTTTAGCGGACAAGTACGATAAAATTGCAGGAATATGTCGCTCCATATCATTAGGATCACCAGATTTACCCAAAGTACGACTTGTTTCTTCTTCAACTTGAGGAACAATAACATTTTCTAGCCATTCACTGACAGCTTCTCTTCGAGCCATAACTGTATGATGGGAACCCATACTTTGATTCTCATCTGAAAGTCCAGTTAGATATTAATTAGTTGATTGTCCTAGTCAAGACCAAGAAAGAAGGAAAGAGAAAAAGAAATAAAGAAGAAAAGAGAAAGAAAAAGAAGGAAAGAGAAAGAAAAAGAAGGAAAGAAAGAAAAAGAAGGATAGAAAGAAAAAGAAGGATAGAAAGAAAAAGAAGGATAGAAAGAAAAAGAAGGAAAGAAAGAAAGAAGAAAGAAAGAATTTCAAATCGTTTTTATTTATTTATATATTTATTTCAGGTAGCTATAAAACACCTCTCTGGTCATGAGCGACTACTCATATTTAAACAATTTTACATAGATAAATATCATATCTTTGATGTTTATATAAAAAAGAAAGAAATCAACACAATACAGGGAGAATATTTTCTGATTCATGTATTAAACATTTAAGAAAATAATTTTATACGAGACAACTGTAGTATGCTTTAAATGTTCCTGGAATTTTTTTCTTATGTAATTTTACTTAAAGGATAAAGTCACTGAATATTTTAACAGGTAACATGAATACTTTAACATAACATTTTGACATTCAAATTACTGAAAGAAACAATAGAGAAGTTTAAAATTTACGTAGCGGGAATGAGCTGATCATACTATTTTGTTTCCTTACATTTTAAATGTCACGCAAAACTACTTTATAATCATAAACACAATTATTGAACATTTTAATGATCTTCAAAATGATTTAGTGGGAAACAAAATACTAAAATTTTATAGAGCAGATGGTCTTCTCATTTTAGAGTGTTTCAATTGTGCTTACTAACTGAAATGCTCATGACCGTGATTAGGTGAGAAAGGGAAATAAACTGTGAAGGAAATATGAGAATTTGACACATATCTCATGTTTGTTTACAGACCATCTGGATGAGCTGAATATAATTTTAATCACATATTAATGAACTAAGTGCAGCAAAGAGTATTGTACAAAAACAAACATTCATGAACCATTCTTGCATTTCAATTGGAAAGGGATAAAAAAGATTTCTAAAACAACGCATTTGTATCACAGCACTTGGAAAACAGGGGGTGCTTTTAACATGAAAGCAAAGTTCAAGTTAAATTAATGTGAGTGAAGGAATGAAGAAACAAAATTCATTAAATTTTCCAAACATTAAATTTGACAAGGACCCATTGCACAGCCAAAATGACTATTGCTGTATTTAATATGCTTGGTTTGTCCTATTCTAAACTTAATGCAATTATAAACTTAAGTGTTTCTCTCTCTCTCTAAAATGGTAATAAATGTACATCTTGCATGTATTTGAATGTAAAGACACATGAAAGCATTTCAACCAAAGATATTGTAATTGTATACTGGGCTCATGCATAGTGCTAGTACAGCATTCTCAATTGAATAATTTCTTGGCAGTCAAGTTGGGGCAAACACATGGACACCATGCCAGGCTGGGTCCATATTTCATTCTCATTGTCATGACTTAAAGACTATAACAAAAATGTCCAAAACAACACCCACTTCAATCCAGTCCAGACATCCACGTCAATAGGATATATTGTGTGGGGAAACTATATCAAAATCACAAGTTTCCCAGGAAAACTCATTAGGAAAGAACAACTTCCTGGAGTACATACATTTGTATTTTTAGAATAATATATTTGATAATAGAAGCTTAAATGCATCTCTTTTGCTTTTAAACCTGCTGTTATAATTGCCCAAAACTTCAAGTGACACAATTTAAATGCAACAGTGGTATTGAGGCTTTGTAAAGCTATGCTATTATATGTTAGAAATGTATACAAATATTGAGGTTTAAATGTTTAGTTTTGCTTAGCTTACAAATAAACAATGGAATACTTTTGATTCTAAAATTAACTTTGTTTTTATACACCTGAAATCGTTAATATTATTACTTTCTATCTCTACAGAAAATAAGACATATCAGTTTCATTATTTCTAGACAATAAATACCCCAAACTTCATCTGACTCTTCCAGGAATAAGACAAGATGCATAACTAGCCTACAATTTAAAAATATACATAGGAGGGCTACTGATTGCCACCTGTAAAGGTAGGTAAAATTAGTCCCATTTTATTAATGTATTTATAGTAAACACGAAAAGGCAACTTCATTATAACACACTCAATGAGAATTTGTTGTAGGTAGTCAATTTGGTACTACAACTTCACAAATCAGCTCGATACAAAACTAAAATTTTTAATTCAAATGGTTCCTTACCCAGTGTAGATAAATGGCCCCACAATGCTACACACAGTTCCCACACATATCGAGCATATGTCAGTAAGGCATCATTTTGATCAATAGTAAGATCTACAGCCAAATCACAATGAGCATGCAATGCATCAACTCCAAATGCTGGTATCCACTGAGGACAATCTCCATCAATCATTTCACTGTGATTTAACTGTATCATTAAATGGCCTTCCACGCTTTCCTAGAAAACAAATAATTGAACTAAAAACGAATTGTGTACTGAATAAAACAATTAGGAACTAATACACTAAGAGCCTTTTATAAAATAACTTTTTCTGAACAAATAAACATTTGCTTACATCATTGCAATCTAAATGTAATTATTTGTCTGAATATTCCAATAATATATTCAAAATTTTGTACAATTATTATTCATACACTTTTTTTGCAAAAACATCAAACTGCCTAAAAAAACAGGCAAAGAATTTCCACTGTTATTCAAATTTTCCAGTTCATGTATACAGGGGTGATAATTATTTTAGGAAGGTTGTTAGGAAGGACATTCATATTTAAAATGTGAAAAAAAGAGTCAAGAATATAAATGTTTAAAACAATCAGACAGTATTACACTCATGAGCTATGTGTAGTAATAAAATAAGGAGTGTACTAATGTGATCTTAATCATGACCTAATGTACACTCATTAGGTCGCCTCTCACCCAAGTTTCATTTTTCAATATAGAAATTAATAAGATTTGATCCGTAATAAAAAAATTCGTGAACTCAAAAGTATCTTACTGAATCCATCAAGTCTTTTTTCACAAAAACTTTCAAGTGACTCGTTTCTCCCAACTATTCTCTTAAGATTCATGGACTTATTACTAAAAAACAGTCATTTTTGAAAGGACACCCTAAAAATAATCGCCAAACACAAAAAGCACAGAAATTTAAGTGGGTTCCTTCAATGAAGTTTTCTAACAAAACTGCCAATCCTCAAGTGTATATAAACATTTTAAAAACTAATTAAATAATATACAGCAAAAGAGATAGAACAAAATGGATTCAGAAAAGATAAGATACTAAGACATTTGGAACAAAAATATTACACACCTACAAGATAAATAAAATGACAAAAATAGGGGAAAAAAAAATAGTTTGCTTTTTACTTTCTTGAATACATATGTATATACAGAGTAATGTACATAGTATAGAAAAAGTCATGTAATGCTGCAGAAAATCGATTTCGAGATTTCAAAGAAAATATATGTTTTTTGGGGGCCCCTGATCCTGGAAAAGGTGTAGTTTTTCTTCTCCAAAATGTCTGTCCATCTAACACCTAAACTACGCATATGCCTATCTGTAACGCCTCAACTTTTCAAAATTTTCTCAAAAATGGCTACAAATTTTTCCTTTGACGTTCTGGTAAGAATTGAGCAAAATACACTTAAAGGTAGTCATGAACCGATTTTTACTGTTTACTCTGAATTTTTGAAAATTGCAAAAGAGTGAAATTTTTTCAGAATCTTCCTACAACTACAAAACTGAAGGTAGAGATTTTTTCATTGAATGAAATTTGTTCTCCATAATTATTACTTTCATTAAGGTCATGTACATTTTTTTGAAAATGTTACAAGTTTACATTATATTTTATGGTAATTTTTCATGGATTTTGGGCTTAGGTGCTACCAATTGTCTTACAAACACCTATCTTTTACTAACAATGCCCTTTTCAAACTGTATGACTCATTTTACTAAAAATGTATCAATGTGGACAGAAATTGTCTAATTTTTAAAAATCAAATTAACTTGGCAAATAAGTTTGTTATGTTTTTTGCAATATTGGCAAAAGCAAAGTCTTAATGAGCAATAAGTTTATGTTTCATTTTTCAGGGGCTACTAATGCACATATACGGGTTATTTTCAAAAATATTCAGCAGTTTTTAGGCAGTTTCCTATTTTCATTGCTAATTTGTCTCAACTAGCAATTGGCAATAGAACTCATAACTGTTAAAACATGCAAAATCACAAGATGAAATTAATGCCAAAATAACACTACTTACACAGAAGTTCTCTTCATAACCAGTACCCCCTCCAACCACTCTCAGTCTTTGCACAATGCATGGGGAGTAATCATCATCAACTCTACCAATAGTATACGACATCAAGTCAGTGAGATCTCCAACCAGAGGTTGAACTGAAGCTGTTTGTTGCGTCGTAAGAGTCAAGAGAGTACTATCCATACCCCATCCAACACGAAAAGAATGGCCCCTTAAGAGGTTGACATCTACAAGACATTTTGCTCCAATTCTTTTAGAACTTGTGTTTTCCCAATGCAACACTTTATGAGGATATTTTAACGCAACAGATTTAGGATGTTCTACTGGTGGAGCAATAACTTCAGGAGCAATATTAGACTTCTGCATTTTCTTTGGAGGTACATCATGACCTGCATTCAAAGCAAAAGAAATATTAAAACAATATACTTCATATCCTAATAGCTGGTAAAACATTCCTATCATGCAGAAAGTAAATATATTTACACATTACTTCTGATAAGAAACTGCACAACGAAGGTTGCAAACACAAAAATAAAATAAATAAGTCATTAACCGCTTCAATTAAGAAAGAAACTACGAAATACAGTAGTATCTGTCAGCACTTATAAATTTCTCTTATCACCAAAAAAGAGTAGCTGAAGCAGCAGAAAAAATGTAAATGTTAATGAATTAACGGATATCAAAACAAAAGAAAAAACTTATTTATAAATAAATCTTAAGCAATAGTAAAGTTTCTGAGAAACTTACAAGTTGCATGAACAGCTACATAAAAAAGGAAGTAAAATTCTTTGAAAATCATTACGCATTTTTTTTGTCTCCTAATTGGCATCATTCAATTTATATTAACAAAAGTAATATCATCAGAGTAAATTAGACAAAGGACTTTTCAACCAGACACAAGCTCTTAACTTGCATGACATGACTGATAGGAAAAACTCTCAATCTTGGACCTTGGGATAAATAATTAATAACAAAATTAAAGAAAAGCATACCTTTTTAAAATTAATTTTTCATGCTATTGAAAAAAATTATCTACCTGCCTTAACACTGTAATAGTTACTATCAACATAACGAACATTGAGAAAAAACACCAATCCAATTCTTCAACATAAATAACTACCAGGAAACCTTAACACATTATATTAATACTACAACAAAAAATTCATTTTAAAAACGTATTCAAAAGAGATTTTTCCCCCTTCCTCCCATTGTGACCCAAAAGATTTTAAAATATTTTTTTTCTTCAATGATAGGACCAACTATTCTGTTTATTCCAACTTCATGGAAAGTAAATGCTGGAGAAGTACTACAATAACTTTCCAAGGAACACAAATATTCAGCCGGTTTTGACCCACGACAGACAGGCTGACTTGCAGGTGTCTCCCTAACAGGTATCTCCACCAGCTAAGTACGTTCGGGACGAGATGTAGATTGCTAATTTGTATCCCAGTATGAGAGAAGGTTTAGTGCGAGGAAGGGTGTGGGTGTAAGAGGAGAAAACAAGACAAGGTTGAGGGAAACGTTTGAGCAAACCATGAATTATTGGTTAGAAACCACTACAACTTTAACCTACTATTAATTGAGGAAACCATGGAAAGCTTCCCATCAGATCAGCTGGCCACTCGTCTATTCTCTTGACTACGGGTGAATTCGAAAATACTATCTAGCTATATTGAAAATCTGCTGATGTAAGTTGTTCACGATGATCCCAGTGTCAGAAACATTGCAGTCATGCGACTACAATGGACCTGACCAGTTCAGGAGGGTTGGGCTCCTTTAATTTCAGCAATATAATCAATTTGAATTTTTAGAACTAGCAAGTTTCGAAATTCAACCCCAATATCCAATCTTACAATGTTCACACAATATGTAAATGTCCTTTTAACTAACTTTCATTAACATTCAAAAATTTGCATTTGTCGATTGTTGGGTCTATTTTTCATTTTATTATAATTCAAAATTACTTCCTATTATCCAACCTTGTAACTTGAGAGACGCACGTTGAAAAATAATGATTCCTTTGGAACTTTATTAACACAGAAAAGAGTTAGCATTTGGAGATAAAAGATAATTCTTTAACAGACTAAAGGGCAGGGGACACAGGGTCAGGACAGTGATGAAGGAGAGAGTGTGGGAGAGAGGAGAGTGTGCGAGAGAGGAGAGCAGGAGGCAAGAGGAGCATTGAAAGAGAGGGGAGAGGAGGGAAGCGTTGAAGGAGAGAGTTGATGTAGAGTGAAAGAAGAGGGGAGTTGGTGAAGAATGGGAGCGAGGGGAGGAGAGTGGTAGAAGAAAGAATGAGAGAATGAGAGTGAGGCAATCGTGAGCAAGGGAGCTGGCAAGTAGGAGAAGAGTGAGAGTGAGAGGACAGCAGCGCATGAGTGAATGGAAATTGAGGGAAGAAAAACTGCAGTTTTAAAAATTAAAAAAAAAAATCTCATCTTTAAATTCACATAGCTTTATGATTCACCTACCAGTAACAGATATATCAACTACAGATATGTCAGTCTGAGGGCTGGTGAAATGGGTCCTTAGAAGATTATATCTTTTTTCTGGAAGACCTTCATTCAAATTTTTTTCCAGTACGTCCTCAATGACATTTTCTTGCAGAAGTTGATCATAAGAGGTAAATCCCAGTATATCTGTGTAAAAAGATACAAAATAAATTACATTTTCGAAATTAATTTACAAGATTAATTAAAAATTGACAGCATCTTCATTTAACCCTTCATTAGGCATGACATTTTTTGGAATGCAGTTAGCTGCACTGGGCCTGCAAAATCAATTTTTTTAATAAACATTATATGGATTTACTGGAGGAAATTTATTATTTACAAAGTCTGAGGAAGTGTTAGAACCTTATTCAGCCAGCATCATTTGACTTTCTCCTGGTAACAGTGAACCTTCTTTGCAACTGCTGGAGTAACAAACGTTGAGCTACATTCTTTACATTGGTATTCTGACCGATGTGGGTGTTAGTCATTTCCAGAGAAATTACTCTTCCATTTACTGTAGCAATATTTTGAAAATGAGAGCCAATTTACATCAGCCATGCATTTGCATACCTGTGAAAAATAAGTGCCTTCTACAACATTATAAAGAAATTGTACTGAATACTCTTTGCCTACTTCATAATCCTTATCTATATTCACAACTTCCATTTCATCCAATTCTTGCAATGGCCCCAATTCTTGCCTCACTGCATGTACAACACCAAGTTCCACATACCAAAGGAAAGAGGGGCTAAATGATCTATTGCCCTCTATCTTATCGGTAACCTTGTCACTGAATACAAAATTGTTCAACAAAAGATGTTAACAAATTTCCTGAACTTTCACCTTTAACCCAGTGAGATATTAAGTATTTAAAACACAATACTACCAGGCTTACACGTGCCAAACAAAGAATTAATTACAACATTATGTAAACATAATCCTTTCACATTTTCTAAAGCTATTTAGAATCTTGAATTAAATCACTGAATTTCGGTTGCATTTTTCTACATTTTAAATGGAAAATGTAACTTATTTTATTTCTCCTCTTAATTTTTTTGGGGGGCGGGGGGTGTATTATTCTACTCTACGCTACCTTGAGTGATATTATATACCAGTCTTAACGGGAATATCTCAGAAATACATAATTACAAAAATTATTGTTATTGTTGTTGTTGTTGTTATCATCAGTAGCATTATAGATTTCGTAGAATATTTTTAGGTCGTTGGCAAAGAGTAGAAGCCTTCTATATTTAATAACTGATGTTACATCATTAATGAAAATGTTGAACAGTAAAGAGATAAGAACTGTGGAATGTGGAATTGAGAACACTTGCGGAATGCCAGAGAAAACATCGTATGAATTGCTACCTTTGAAATGGTAGAATAATGGTAGGCTTCTTCTGGTGGAATGTCTGCAGCCCTGACAAAAGCAGGTCTCTGATTTCAAGTTCAAAGAGTTTGGATAAGAGGATATTATGGCCAAATCGATCGAAGGCTTTGGGCAAACCAACATAAATTTCGAAGACCCAACCCCTATAGTTTAGTGATATTTTACGGTAAGAATGGTTATGGTTGATTTTGATTTCCTGTAGCCATGTTGATAGTCAGATAGTATGAAATCAATGCCAGGAGAAATAATTGACATAATATCTTAATAACTCAGGAATGGAATTCAGAATATATTTGTCAGTTGTTGGAAATATCCAATTTGTCCTTTTTGTGTATTGGTATTGCTTTGCCCAATGACCATGTATCCGGAAATATCCACATGGGGACTTGCTACACAGAAGTCCGAAAAGGTAGGAAAAGGAAAATTGAAGTTTCTCAAGAAGCTGTTTGTTATTAGAACTACCCCAGCCCTCTCTCTCACATTTAGGCTATTCAATGCTTAACCCATTAAGGACCAAGCATTGAAATAATATATTTTTTAAAATAATATTATGTTACTCTAATATTACACTAGAAAGGATAAAAAATGTAATTTATAATTTTTTTAAACCAATAGTAAATGTACAACAAAGGGTTGTGTACACACAACTTTGGGACCTTAGGGTGTATCAATTCATCTTTACACGAGAAGTCTGAAAACGGTGTGAATGGAGATGTACATTGCACTTTTTTACATTTGTAAACTGTAGTGTTTTTGGTCAATCTGCACCTCCTTCTGGCTTTCGTTTCTTCCTCTACATTACGATTGATTGATTGATGATTCCAGGCATGTCTACTGCTAAGTTTATTAGTCTCATAAATGTAATGAACTTTTTTTTAGCATGAAAGGTGGCAGTTATTTTCCCCTGTTGGATGGTGAGATCCGAAGCTGGCCTACCTGTTGGCTTGCAGGTTTTTTTCTAAAAAGGTATCTCCCATTCACTAGCGGGGCACTGCCTCAACCAGAACCACCACTTAGCTTCCAGCAAGTATGTTAGTGTAGTGCAAGTACAAGTGTAAGTGTATGTGGTAATGGGTGATGATAGGACAAGTTTGAGGAGGGAACGATCATGTCAGAGGCACTGCAGTGACAAATTTATGCCCTGAGCCACCTCTGCCAGTATCCGTACATCATCATAATGTATTTCTTTAGGTAGGGAAATTAATGTGGGTTGACTAAAATGGGATTTTTCAGTCTCCTGTGTATTCATTTACTCATTATTGCATTCACTTTTTTTTTTGCACAGACTTCAGACTTCATTGGAGTAGTGGCTAAGTAAGAGAGAAATTATAGTTGTGACATATTTTCTTCATTTGCAATATATAGTTTCCATAAGATGACAATTGCGCAGTCAATCAATTTTTCTTCTATTTTTTTTTTTCTCCAGAAGATCATCTATATTTTCCTTAATTGTCATTTCAGCAAAATTGGGAGGGATTTGCACAGCATAAATCGTATTTGCAGAAATAATATCAACATCATTCTCCAAAAATAAGTTCAGCAGTTGATAGAGGCCTTTATTGTTTTCTATCATTCCAGAAATAAGCAGAATTTTTGTAGAAGATAAATATTTACGCCTGAAGCACTGTTTATACAATGGCGCAACAATACAGGACACTATCTCCAGGATGAGATTTCAAAAACAGAAATAGTAGTTACATGACTATTCCTCAAGGAATATATTCCAATTGCATTTGCTCTATCACATTCGGATCATGTACCCAAATGATCCCAACATTGCGTAAACAAAACATTATTGCAAATTATCAATAAGCTATGTAAGGACTTCTCTACATGATAAATATTTTCAAATGATGAATGAAGGTTCAAGCAAGTTTGTTGAATACTATAGTAAAAACAAGTATTGTTTAATAATTTAATTAAAATTTGAATATCAGTAGCACAATTCACTACATTATTTCTAAGTTTTAAAATTCAACGAAGCCCAATTTACACTCGGTTATGATTGAAAAGTGCAAAACCTATATATCTAAACAATTGTACGTTCTACTTCAGTTTAAATTACAACCCTGGTTTTCTTACCTCTACCTTCTCTTCAAATATGTAACAAATGAATTTGTTGTGATCTCATCGACATCCATGGTGATAGTCTATTTAACGAGTTAGCTATTCTGTTTTTCAAAATAACACGTCCATGTAGAGTTTTGGTTGTAAAGGAAGGAGCTAGTTGCAAGGCACACCTTTTCAGATATATTGTGGGGATATCACCAGACCATGCTACAGAACTTTCTAAAATATCTGCAAAACAACATACCAGCTTCATTGGGTTTGTGACATGCAGTTTTCTACCAATGCAATATAATTTGATTTTTTCCCTTCTTCGTGATTTGCAAGATATCTAAGCTAGATCTGATTTAAATCTAGATTGTTTTGAAGATTTTGTGTACTTTCTTATCAAGACACTAGGTAAGAAAACCAGAGAAAAACGAGAGAGGACTAACAATTTTAGTTGGCATGTAACAATAAATGGCGGAATATAAAAGGTTGTAAAACACATGTACACTGGCATTAATGTTGTTGCTGCCTGCGAAGTTTGAAGACGTCTATTGAGTTGAAGAAATATTTCATAAATTCGTAATTACCTCTTTTAAAATCATGCTGTGGGTTTTATGCCAGTTCTGCCAGGACATGTCAATGTTACTATGATAATCAAGGCAGGGAATTATATGTCACAATTAAGGCGTGGGTTAGCATACACTTCTATTAATAAATCTTCCACATCAGAAATAATAGGATCAAGGAGAAATCCTCATTCATTGATAAACTCATTAAATCGTCTGAGATTTAACAGTAGTGGCAAGGTTAGCCATAGGCAGAGTGGGTGAAGTGATTGAAATAGGAGATGATTAACACTCCTGATCCTTCAAGAATGTCATTCCATGCATTCCTAGGTAGAATGAAATCATCAGTTAGTACTGAGTAGTAGTGAGATAGGAATCACATACAGTCTCTAGTCCTTGAGAGTAATCGGTTTAAATGAGAAAGAGTCGCTGGAAAGAGGAGGGCAACCAGCACTCTCAGTAACATTTTGGTTTGCCAGATCTCAACAAAAAATAACTAAACTAACGTTGATGAGCATACCAAGAATGTAGCTTAAATGCTGCAATCAGAATGCCTCCACCTTTGGAAAATGTACTATTTTGGTTATCCCATTAACGAAGGAAAATAGAATAATCATACAGTCCCAGCTCATCATTAAAAAAGTTGTTCACCAGAATAATAATACAGTCTTCCCCAGAATAATAATACTGTTTTCCGCCACAGATGAATTTACAGCTTCTTGAAAGTCACGGAGCTTAGAGCACTATCTCTAATGTTTTGATAATAGAATGTGAATCCAATCCAAATACTCTTGAAGGGGAAATCCTGTTTCCATTTACATTCCAAATGTAGCCGGATCAGCAAAAAAACATTAACAGAAAAATCGGCAGTAAGATAGCGTGTTTGACCAGTGATCTTAGCCTCCATCAAATTTGCAAGAAAAAAAATTTAACTTCAGTTTTTAACTTCAGGGAACACACATCATTTTCATAATCGCGTAAGACATTTTAGAGACATGATATTTGAGTTGCATAATAAAAATGTTCACTTGAAACAAACAATGCCAATATTTTAAATATTGATTGTTGTAAATAGTTGTTACTATTTTGTTTCATGTTTAAATATATTAAACTAATTTTTAGATTTGATAGTAAAGATACAATATTATGAACATGCAGTTCATTAACCAAATTGAATTAGTTAAAAATTTAAAATTATCTAGAGAGTACACAAAGAATGAAGAGTTTCCTAGAAAAGTTACAAATTATTCGACAGCAAGACCTTGGAACCATGGATGCAGTTCAAGATTACCAAGTGATCATTCAGTAAGACTTGCAGCAATGAAAGGAAAAATTTTTTAAAGCAGAATTTTAATATTTACTTACTGAAAATTTTATTAAAAATAGGTCTTTTCAATAATATTTGACAAAGTTTCATCCATGAATGAGCAGACATAAATTTGGAAAAAGAGCTCTTAAATTCAACTTGTTTTACATTATAACAAAAATTGCAATAACTGTATATCACTTAAATGTTTAAATTAGACTTCATGGTATTTAAATGGCCTACAAATGAATGAGACAAATAAAGAACATTTGGAAAGATAAGATTTGCATTTCTCGCATCTCAAATTAATTTTTCTTTATTTCAATATTTTTAAATAATGGTATTATTGAATGGCTGCATTTTCAATGAAATCTAAACCCACAGCCCAATCTTGGAAATCAGTTTTCAAAATATTGATTCTGTACAGACAGTGTAAATCCATGCAGTAAAAGAAAGTATTAAAACTGGTCAGGCAAAATAATTACCGAAGAATATTGCAAACATTGAAGCAAATATTTGTAAGAGTTATAAAATGGAATGAATTTTTATTGTTACTCATTCTTTAGCATTAAGATAAATATTAGAAACACAACTTGACAGATCTAATACGCGAAAGGTACAAAGCATGCCTTTTATATGCATGAAGATGTAAGTTTTATTAGTAATTAAATAAAATAAAAGCTCAATGGAAGTTTAATACAAGCAAATATAAACATTTACTATGCTTACAATAACTGCCAACACTTCAGTCATAACTTCAAATCCACTGACTGCAAGTTCAGGTAGACGTGAAGCAGATCTTACTGCTGATATATTGTTCTTGAAAATTCCTTCATTTTTATCCATGCAAGAACAAATGCATTTAAATAACTAATGTATGCAGGAAGGGATACAACAGTGTGGTCAGCACCTGCAGCCAATTTATCAGCAACATAAATCTTTTCAATTGACCTCATGGCTTTAATTAAAAGGTACAGAGTGTTTTCTCTGGTCAATGTGACATGGAATTTCTCATTTTTGCAACCATCCTCACCATTGTAGCTTTCATGACATAATGAGATGGGGCACTCTCTGCTTGTATGGAATGGTAGGAAGGCATCGTCCATCAAAATTAAAGATGAGGGGGTTAAGTTGGGCAAAAGTTGAGAGTTGCAGCACTTTCTAACATATTCTGCACTCTCTTGCCCATGATAATTGTCTTGTAGGGAAATTAGAATATTGGACTTGTGTTCTGAAGTCATTGCCCGAACCTACAATACCAACAATTAAGCTCTTCATGGTACTACCCCACACAATAACACCAAGTATTTTCTTTTCTTTTTGCAAGCCTTTTCCGGTTGTAAGGTTGCTAACTATCCAAGACTCGAAAATCTAAAAAACTTCCCTCCTTTCCTGAAAAGTGTCATTTTCTACAAGGAATTGACTTTGTCTCTTGTTTAGCAACAATGCTGCTTGTTCAGCATCTCCTCCACATAAATTCCATGACTTTTAAAATGTGTCACACAAAAGTTGATCTCCCCTCTCAATTAATGTTTGCAAGGAAAACTGACAAAAATTAATTTATTGTAAGCACTAGCATTTCAACCATATAGACATTAATTGGTTCACGAATGACATACTTGTTGAATTCATCAACCAATGCTTTCCTGCTTGGTCTTGTCACAAACAAAGACATTAAGATTTAATTTAATAAATAGTTATTCTTTCATGTATTATTATAATGAAGTTTTCACTAGAAAAGAATGCTCAATTAGAAAAATCTCTCTCTTTTCTTGTTGAGAGTTCTTGGCGACTGATTTAGCATGATTTTTTGAATTTTTTCATCCTCTGAATTGAAGAGATATTTGCATCCTTGGAAGGTCTCTTCTGTGATTTATGTAAACGGGTCAAGTTGTTTTTAGACTTCTTAATATGCAACATTCAGCTGCTTGTGCAATTATTTTTCTTTCATTCAACATAATGTGTGAAAAAACATTATCTTAATTCGAAAGTCATAGCAAAAGTTGGAAACCAGAAGCCAAACAATAAAATCAAGAGAAAAGTGGTGTAAAATAGCCAATAAAACACAGCATAGTAACAGAGAAAACGAGAGCAGTGGAAGCAAGAGCAGTAATAGGCAGTCCTGACTATCCTGACAGGTTCTGAATGAGATCAAGGATTTTGTCCAGAGCATGTGAAGTTGAGCTGGTCAAGGACTAGGAAGCTATCAGTACACTGATAGTACACTGCAAACATACATTTTTCTTTCGAAACATTTTCACACAAAAATAATTGTGCACAATTTCAAAATTACAACATAAAATTTGTCCCTGTTTATTTGCTTCCTTTCATTTACTTTATAAATCAGAGGTGTCAAACTTGCAAGGCCTCAAGGGTCTCAACTAAAACCTTTAATACAGTTGCAGTACTCGAGATCTCCACACAGACCCTGTATTGTTCATCTCGGTAGTTAGTCTGGCTGCTATGAAACGGGCAGGGTTGATGGAACCATGTGTGATATCACGCTGTACCATGCATAATGCAGTGAAACACATTGGGATGATTTTGAATTTATGAATTTACTAGAAAAAAATCCTTAAATCTAAACTTAACATATATTTTCGTTAAGAGGGGGTTGACCCTGGACAAGGCATGTGCACTAAGCACAGTTGGACAACCCTTTTGTAAATTGTAAAGTGCTGAATTTTAGCGTTGAAAAATATTATTTCTTACCAGCATTTACATCATCCTCTACAAAGAAAGATGCTTTCATTAACTGCAACTTGTGCGATGAACTGCCAAATTCTCTAGCTAATTTTGTAGTTGGACTGGTAATCATAGTGCCTAAAGAAAAGAAAGAAAGAAAAAAAGATTAATCTGCATTCATAACTCTGATGTATGTAAATCAAACATGATGCAGTGGTCAGAATTTACAAAATTTTATGGCTTCCTGTTTTTGACAAATGGCGAAGCAAAAGAGCATTATCAAACTAATAATTACTCTGTGAGAGAGCATTAAATGTCTGAAAGAAAAATGCTTCTTCCAAATCTCTCCCCAACATGAAAAACACTCTTGGTAACAATACATTTCACGAGAAAAGCGGGACTTGCAATACATAAAAACAAAACTTTACATTACATATGAAGCTACAATAAAAAGGAAAGACTTTTATTGGCCCTCGTAATTGCACTGTTAATGGTGAACAGTATCAGTTGTCCAAAAAACTTATCTCTCTTTGCTATTAGCAAATAAGCAACATTCTAAGTTCAAAACCAAGTTTTGAAATTGTCCTGTAAGCAGTTGAGCTCCCAATTAACCTGATGAGATAGCAAGTCACTCACAGAGTACTAGGGAAGCCATATATTTCCTTTTAGAGTTTTTCCCCTTCTATCAGAGAGTAGTAAATGATGAACAAACTCATTCAGACTGACAAACACGTCCTTCCAATAAGTGTGGTCTCTATTACTTTATGTAGGCGACCATAACTTCATATATACTTGCTATTTTTTCTTTCTTTTTTTTTTTTTTTTCCTCCTTGTATACGGTCGCTATAAAATGGCTTAGACTATGAGCTACCACTGATAATAACACCTGTTTTATATTATTTTTGACAGAGTAACGTGAGTTGAACAGTACATAATAATGTATTGTTATGCCAATTTCGAAGTTTTAATTACATTTAAAAATAATGGTTTTTGGGTGGACAGTAAAGACAGAAACGTGAATTGAACAACTTGTAGCAAATTCAAACCCAGCTGATTTCAACAGATTTATAATTTTATCACATCCATCCTCCGATTTGAATAAATCAGGTAAGTAGATTCCCAGTAATGACCTTTCTCTTGGTAAGTTCTTGTGTGTATTTGTTATGTATTCTTGTCAAGAATTCAAAAACGGTACACACCATTTCCATAGTCAATAATTGGGTGTTTGGGTACATCTTCCATATCATGATCATCTTCAAGGAGAACAGGGACAAGAGCAGAACCACCATCATTTAATCCACCAGGTATCTGAGTACCAATCAAACCAACACAATCCTAAAAAGAATAACCATATTAAAAATTCATATCTTTGCAAAATACCATAAACCAGGTACTAATAATAACATACTTCTTTTCCACTCATCTGCTTTGCAGTCACTGCAAGTCCAGCCTGCTGAGGCACTGCCCCAATGGGAGCACTTGATTTTACAGGAACACCAGACTTTTGCTGTTTAGCTGGGACAGGAGGTAGAGCATCATCTTCATCTGAGTCACTCAGACCATATTTTGAAAAATGTTCAACCTGTACATTTCATAAACATTCAAAGAATGCAATTTTATAACAAAAATAAAAATAAAGAATATTTATCAACAAAAGAGCAAAATGTAATAGTGTAGCATCTATTTTAAGCATATAACATGTTAATTGAAAATCATTACACGAACACTAAGCTTATTTCTCGCAATGAAAATTACAATAAACTGAACTTAAAAACATTACAACAAACATTTCATTGAATCAATGAAACTGAGCATTTGTGTTCAACAAGTAAATTTTTCCTCTACCTACACTTAAAAAGGAATTTGTTAGGATATGAAAACACGCTGAACAGGAAAATAACCTTTGATTTGCAAAAACATGTTTTATTCACAATGAAGTCTGATATTAGTCATTTAAATCAGTAAGGGAATGGGAACAAAAGAACATAAGGAGGGAAAAGATGAGGAGTATCTAATAAAATTAAGATAGGTTAGTTTTGGGTATGTGATTATAGTAACAGTGGTAGCAGACACATACCACCCTGAACAAGGAACACCAAGATACATCTTGAAAAGAAAGGGCTTTGTTGTTCAAAAATTAATAATCACAATGTTCCAAATTTTGTTTCTAACGCCAAAATTTACATCAGCACTTGCATGGAAGGAAATTCTTTTTATAATTTTTTTTTAATGCATCAGAAATATTTATTTTCAGTTTTACTACTGAAAATTATTCTTAGCAGCACACTAAATTTCGGTAATAGGACTATAAATTGGTTTCATTTGCAACAGTCTCTATGAAATGCTATTATTAACTCCCTTGTGAATCTTGGAACAGCTTTAATGAAAACACGATTATAGTTTTCATTCACACTTGTGTTAACGCACGCGCACTTGTTTCTCATGTTGGTAATATTTATATTAGTATAAATTTGTTTACAATATTATAAGTTCATGCACTTTAAATAATATTACGTAAAGTTTCTCAAAAACTCAACATTTTACTGTTATAATGAGCTCAAAATATTTTCTTCCAACTTTTTGAACAGATGGTGCAAATAGTACTCTTCAATATGATGTAAAGTTCAATTTGGTGGTATATTTTTGTTTTTTCAATAATTACACAAACTTAATTTGTTAAAAATATATCTCAGACCATTATTATGTACATTTCTAGCAATTTAAAAACAATATTGTATTTGGGAGTTAAATTGCTTCAAAAGACTTCAAATAAAGTGTTTTGAAAACTAAAATTTTATTTTAAAAAGAGCTTCAAATTCGATATTAACGCCATTTTCTTAAAAGCTGCTGGAAAAAAAAAAAAAAAGCATATGGGAAGAGGTTTTACTGTTCTTTAATATTCTTAAATAATACTTCCATTTTATTAGAAAACTATTAAATTAATATTTCCATTTTGGTTTCCCATTCTACTATTAGGAAATCAAACAAATAAGAAAATTTCAAAAAAAATTAATTTGGGGGTGATAGATGGCAGCTGGCAAGAGTATCTGGCAAGTTCAAAAAGCTAGTCAACACCAAAGAAAATAGAAAACTAATACAGGAACATCTGTGCCATTCTGTAGCTCCAGTAGTTTGTTGATTGTAAGGGTCAAAATCAAAGTTCATCGCCTGAAAAATTCTCGAAAAACCTCAATTTAAGATCAGATTATCCTTGCAATTTTCTATAGATAAAATGTTTTTGATAATTTTTCAGGCGATTAAATTTGATTTCCTGGAAAAAACTTTTTTTTCAATCACAATTTCCAACATACAAAATTTTTATCCTTGGGGGTAATTTTGACTGTCTTATTCTGCTACCCACTTTAGAGCTTTTCACTTCTCAAGAATTGCAACTCCTATCCCCCCCAATATAGCCACTTTTACCGAGATTATCACATATTACTTTAAAAATTATTCCATTGTATTACTTTTACTTAAAAAGGGCCATAATACTGTGTTTCTAAATTATATAAGACTATAATTGTAGATTATATAAATGATACATTAGACTTTTTACTTTTCAAGAAATGACGATATCCCTATTTTGCAATGTATTGCAACACTGGAAACTTCTAACTTGATGTTTTTGTCCCCAATTAGTGATATGAATCTAATATTATATATTTTATTTTAAATTTAGTTGCTGAAGGAATAGTCAAGTATACTTGATTGTCACAAAAATAACATTTCTACTCAACTTCAGCTCACCTTAAAAACCCAAGATCCAGTTTGTGGCCTATATTCCATAAAACGAGTTCGCAACTTTGCACATACTCTCTGCAACTTATCTTCATATCTCATTTCCTGAAGTCTCTCTGCACTTGTGATGGGATCATGACTTGACTTGTCAATAGGCCACACTCTATCAAGGGTCACCTGAGCTCGTCGGTTTAGCCCTTCACCAACAGGAGGTTTTTTCTCATCGTCAGGATACAAAACAACTTCCTTATGTCGAAAATGAACTGCAAAATGTGCAACAATAATTTAATGATAATATATTATTTTTCATGTTCAATTTAATTTTCAATATTGGTCAAATTTCAGCAAATTATAGCAAAAATAATTACCAATTTCATCTAAATTCAGACCAGCAACATCAAATGAATCAGGGAAATATACATTTCCATAGCCATTCCTGCCTATTGTAAAATTATCCACAACACATTTTCCATCTTCAGTCAGGAGGCTGTTCAAATCATCCAGAGAGGGAATGGTGTAATATCCAACTCTATTAAGGACAATTCCAGTTGGATGTGAAGGCTGATCTCTTAAAGGAGGTGTATCATCCACTTCTTGACTCTCCTCTGCAAGATTGAAGTATTCTTAAGAGAAAACAAAAATTACTTCAACACCAAACAACCCCCCCCCCATCTGAGAAGTTAAAGAGTCTATTACCTGAGCCAGAAGAACTTTCATTGCTTCGTTCTTTGTTATTTCCATCACTATTTAAAGCAGATTTTGTGATTCTTTGCAATCTTACTTCTCCTACATCAGGAGTAAGCTCAATACTTCTCCTGGGACTGCAAACAAATATTAAATTAGAATGAAAAAAAAACATTCAAATCAAAATTAAACAAGTATTGTTCACTCGGTTAAACAGTTTACCTCTGGGTATCTGCATTTTTATTATCTTCTTTGGAATTTGCATTTCCTCCTTTTCCCAGTAGCCTGTATTATATAAATTAAATTAATATTTCTATTATGAGGTGACTACAAATTATTGTCAAACACTAAATAATAAATGACTATAGGTAAAATTCTTAATCGATTTCGAAGTACAAGAATTTCAGTAGTCTCTTGAAATAATAATTACATTGTAATATTCACTTTTTCACTCACATCTCCCTCTTACATTTTTTTTTGTCTTCAATATATTTATAATTCTCCTACACATAGTTACATTCCAGCCAAATAATTACTTAATGAGTTTTTTTTGTTCAAGGAACCCAAGCTTAAAAAGAAATTATTGTTTCTGCTATTTGGATCACTGCTGGTAGTCTGATTGTATTGGTTATGCTACGTTATCTTTACTTTTCAGCCTTAAACATTTCTCTTGCCTAAAAGCACTCAACTGGGAGAAAATCTTAGGGTAAAAGAGGGAGGGGGAGGAGAGGATGAGAGGAGAGGGAGAGGGGGAGGAGAGGATGAGAGAGGGAGGGGGAAGGGCGAGAGGATGAGGGGGAAGGACGAGAGGATGAGGGGCGAGGAGGAGAGGAGTTAGCAAGGGAGTAACAGGAAAATTATCTTACAAACAAGTAGAAAATTAATTTGGCAACTTCAAATCATTCAATATGGATGTAAAATCTCACTAGCGTTGCAACATTCAAATTTCTAGTCCTGGGAGTACAGTGTTATAAAACCCTTATATAGAAGAGAACCCTGACAAAACGCACAACAGGACTTATCCTTTAGAGTCAGTGCATTTAATTAAATGTCAATACACAATTAAACTTCAATACACACAAAACAGACCACTGACAACACCCACTTCAAAATGGGAACCTGAAACAATGAAGGTATGAGTGAAAACAAAAGGAAAACCAAGAGAAAGTCTTTGGTGACAAAAATTACGATGAGAAAAAAAGGGAGTAATAAATTTGTACATAATAAAGTAAGTAAGGAAATTTAATTCCTGGGTAACATAATTGAGCAAGAACAAGAGGACTTTGAAAAAACAACAACAAAAATTCAACAGAATAACAGGGCAATAAAAAATATTTTAGAAATGATATGAACATAAAGAGACAAAGCAGAGAATATACAGAATAACAGAAGATGTATGAATCACAAAAACAGACCATAAGAACTTCAGACTTGCAAAGAGAAGTAATTCAGATGAGCACTCTGAAGGAATTCCAAAGACCAGTTGAAACACATGGAAACATTAGATGATAAAGTGAATCTATGCAATTACACATCTTCATTTCGTAACTCCTCAGAAATAATTATTGAATAAGATCTCTTTAGATGAAGACCATAGATAACATTGTATTTTAAAAAAATATTCACTTGCACTGGCTACTTTATAGCATTCTATCCTTCCATTTGGGTAGTCAGAGCACTGCATGAACAACAGCTAACCACCACTTGGAATCCTACCTGACAAGCATTCATCACTGGCAGGAGGATATAAACATGGCAGAAACAAACACAGTGAAGGATCCAAGTGCACTAACTCATCACGCCCAAGTGGTCAGTGCAGAATCTACATTAGAATTCATTGCTGGGCAGCAGGTTAGCTGGTCAGACAATTGTTTTCCACGCATTGTGGGTACTCCCACATCTAATACATATTTCTAAAGACATCACATCATGTACACATATTATTTCAGCATTCAAATTTCCCAAAGTTTTCTAGGTTTTCTGTTTTTCCACAACTCGGCCACCTCAAAGGTGAGATTCCACCCTAAAAATGAGAAAAAATTGACTTTCTTCAAAGGCTGATTTTTGCAGTTTCATACTTGGTTTTTTAATTATCTGTGCTGTTTGGCAATCAATTTGTTCTGTGTTCTTAAAGTTTAAGTGTACATTTTCTCTCTCCCTTGAGATAAGTGGTGTGTGAAAATCTTAACTCCAGAGTTGATCCAGTGAAGCCCCGACTCCCAAAGCAGAGATCTCAGCTGAGAAAATGACCAACAGGGACAAGAAAAGAAGAGAAAATGGCTTCTAGAGATCAACAATAACAACATTAATTGCAATACAGAGCAGATAGTTTTTAAGTAAAATAATACAACAAATACGATGGGTAATTTCTCACAAGAAATTTTGGAGTGTTTCTCAAAACATGGTTTTTTGTTATAAATGCTCAGTTTTCTCATTAAACCAATTTTATTTCCTTTACAGATTACTCTACTAAATAACGTGAAGATGTGGATCTACATTTGTGAAGTTAGCATTATTTGTTTCAATTTTATAAATACATTTTTGAAAACAATCTAGGTCTGAGAAAAAATCATATTTTTGTTTCCTGTGAAGCAATTCTTTTCAAAGTAGATCAGTACAATAACAATAGTACAGATAATGTTCAAATCAGAATCTCCAATAGTTTATGAGAAAATGGGTCATCAATATTAACAATTTAACATGGGTAACTTAGGAGGGGGAATTTCGCCTACATGCATTTTAAAGTTTAAAAAGAGGAAACATACCAGGTTTCCTCTGCAGGAGGTTGGTCATGAATCACTTCATTATTCTCTTTATCCGATTCTTGGCACGAGTTTGTAATTTCAGTACCAATTGCAACAGTTGAGGAACCCTCTGTTTCAACAGGCTTGGTTTTCAATACAAGTCTCTTAGTACTTCGCAAAGGTGAGAAGTTTTCCAACTGAGCAGGAACATCTTCATCCAGTCCATCAAACAATGCTTTCTGCAGGCAAATATTACAAAATTAAATGAAATCTGGATAAGCCAAAAAAAAAATACATAGTCATGTAATGTAAAAAATCAACAAACCAAAACTTAGTACCAATAACACTATATAGCCCGGCTTACCAATTCCCCCCAGCGGAGTCATTTCAACTCTGAGACTTAAAGTTACTTCTTTAAAGGAAATATTGGAAAAATATTTATCTACGTCACTAGAAAATTATTAAAAACAATAATTTTGTGTATAATACAAGTTCTATTAACAACTTAAATATATTTTAAACATTTATTGTCATTACTTTTCCTCAAAATGGACATTAAAAAATGTGTTGAATGGAATGAGCTAGAAAAAGGCAAGAGTTTGATAAAAAGTAAATTTTAATATACTAAACTAATAATAATGATGATAATGATGATGATGATGATAATAATAATAATAATAATAATAGAAAAATGTTTTAAAATATATTTCCTTGCAATGCACTTCCCATACTATTTAGCAATAAGTCAAATTTATTCAAAATATTTTACATATGTTTGTTTCACACCCATAGGAGCATGATGTGTGTCAGAGGACGCTGATCTAAAAGAAATTTAATCCCATGTTTCAAATGGCAGAAGATACTGTTTAGATTTTTATCGTATTTACTTCCTTTTAATATTCTTTATGCCTAATAAGGTCATACCTGTCCTTACTAGGCATGTACAGTAGAAATATGCATAGTTGTAGATCTAAAACTGCAAGGACATGTACAGACTATAGTTTTGGAGCACATTTTGTAGAATACATACATACATACATACATACATAAATACATGCATTCATTTGATGAACACCTGGTTTGTTTCCGTATGTGTGGTTCACGACTACATTTTACAGGTGTTTACTCTCGTCTTTCATAAAACTTCAACAATATTTCCAATGCATGTAAAACCATTGTCATTCACAATTTTAGTGATAATCTCCCCAAATACAATTAATTGCTGCTTTTGATTGGTTTTCATGCCATGGCTGTGTAAATACAGAGTTGGCAGGTAAATGCCCACATATCATGTCTCTTTGTCTGATGCAGTTTGGTACAGTTTGTAAAGGTATCGCTTAATATTAAAGCAGAATAATTTTTCACAGGAAAGCAGTTAAATTTGCCCTTTATTTCTTTCCAAACCCCTCTTATTACTTCAAAACAAGAGTTTAAGAAAAGAAATAAAAATATCTGACCACGTCATTATCATTTGGAGTCCGAAATGCTCTTCTGAACACAAAAAATATCTTTAATTATCTTTTTCTGAATTATTTGAAGAAACATTCTTTCATTCAACATTAATGTGATAACAAAGCTATTCCTTCATGTGATAATTTTTTTTCAACCTAGTGATATATTTGCTAATTATTAAACTAATTCTTATTGTTCAGTCAACACAAACTGCAAATTACAATCTATTCTTGACCCATCTCTCCCAGCAAGCATTTTAAGAGGACAAACAGGTTGTAATCACTAGACTAAGGATAGGACATTTCAAACTCAATTTCTGCCATCTATTTAACAGATCAGACCCAGAACCCTGCCCAAAGTGTGGTGCAGCACTCTCCATCTCCCACCTTATTCTTGAATGCACTACTACTGATAATACACGAAAACTTCGAACAATTGTAGGAACCCTACAATTATTGCACAGTTCCACAGATGGGTGTGCAAAAATAATGATATTCTTAGCAACCACAAAACTTTACATCCTCGTATAGCTGAATAAAGTATACAAACCGTAGTTTCATTAAACCTTCTATTTTATGAAAATGTGATTAACTTGAACATTTTTTTTCTTGCCCCAACTGTATCTTAAGATTTATGCGCGCTCACACACACACACACACACACACACACTCTCACTCTCTCTCTCACACACACACACACTCACACTCTCTCACACACACACACACTCACACTCTCTCACACAACACACCACACTCACACTCTCTCACACACACACCACACTACACACATCTCTCACACACACACGCTCACCATCTCTCCCACCAGGACACTCACACTCTCTCACACACACACACCACACTCACACTCTCTCACACACACACGCCACACTCACACTCTCTCACACACACACGCACAACTCGACACTCTCTCACACACACACACCCACTCTCACACTCTCTCACACACACACACTCTCACACTCTCTCAACACACACACACACTCTCACACCTCTCACACACACCCACACACTCTCACAGGGGGAATTTCCCGCGTCATGAAGCAGCAAACAAGCTAGTCCTTCTTCCGAAGGCGATAAGGCACCTACTGATCCCGCAGCCTATCGCCAATTATGCTTACTGGACACCAGCAGGCAAAGTGTTGAGCGGATTATCTGCAATCGTATTGAGTCATTTACATGAGGGGCCTCAAGGATTGTCTGATAATCAGTACGGCTTTAGAAAAGCGAGATCCACGGTAGATGCTATGTAAGTAGTCATCGACATCGCACGCAAAGCATTGAAGGCAAACGATGGAAAGGCGTCCTATGAAGTATTGTGCTATAGTGACCCTAGACGTGAAAAAACGCCTTTACACTCAAGGGGAGCTCCATTCTTTCTGCGCTACAAACTCTTGGAGTTCAAGGTACATCTCGAAACTTGGTAAAAAGTTACTTTAAGGAAAGAGTCCTCCTATATGAAACTGGGCTGATGTAACAATCTTATACGGTCACAGCGGTGTCCCACAAGGCTCGGTACTTGGTCCGATGTTGTGGACACTATGTATGACCCGTATTGAAGCTCGAGTTCCGGAAGCGCCAAGAACATTGGATTCGCTGACGATGTTGCAATTGTCGTTTCGCAAATACATCGAACAAGTCACGCAGGTTGCCAACGAGGCTGGGCGGAGATCCGCGGTGCTTACGTAGTAGGGCTACAGATGGCCGCCCATATAAAACAGAGAGCTGTGGCTGGTGCGGGCAGAAAAAAGTGAGAGAGATATTACTCTTAAGTAGAGGCTGCAAAATAATCCTCGCAGCTGTCACTAGGTATTTGGGAGTCCATATTGACGCGAGACTGCGCTTTGACGAGCCACCTGCGCCCCAATGTCTCCGAGAAAGCGTCTCGATGGGCATCCGCATTTGCACGCATTATGGCCTAATGTAGGGGGACCTGGGCAAAGAAGCCGAAGGCTGCTGACTAGCGTAGTAAATTCCATTTTCTCTACCAGCCCCTATTGGCAGATTGCCATGTGCATTCAGTCATACGCCCGTGGGCTAAGTCGGTGCATAGAAGGTCCGCCTGCGGGTTGCTCGAGCGTTTCGCACCGTATCTTATGAGCTGCTGTGTGTGTTAGCAGATATGCTCCGATCGACCTCATTGCGGGGGAGAGAGCTAGACTCTATTTTGCGCAAGCGGGAGGCCTCCAAACTGAGTACCATATCGAAAAGAGAGGGGTGACAATGGACCAATGGCAACGACGATGGGAGCAATATCAACTGCGATGACATTTCGGGTCATTCCGACATCATGACCGTGATCCAAAAGGGAACATGGAGAATTAGATTTTTATCTAACTCAGATGCTGACAGGGCATGGATTGTTATCGAGAGTATCAGCTCAGATTCCGGTTCGCTGCCGTGTTCACGTGTTCTTTCACTGTCCACGCTTCGGCAGTGGAGAAGGAAGAACTTCACAGACTCCTCCAAGAGGAAGTGACCCCTGAGACCATCGTCACTAGGATGCTGCTGAACAAGAGTATGGAGTGCGGTAGCCACCTATGCCGCAAAGGTCCTGAAGACACTCCGCTCCGAGAACAGCTACGAAGAAGTCTCCCGTAATATTTCGGTGAAGTGCGAAAAGCCATCCTAACTTCTCGCGATGCAATGCTGACGGCGGTTCCCGACGGAATAGGAGGAAAGGGAGGGGTTTTAGTGGTAGGCACTAGGCTAGCTATGAATCCCACACGCTGCGGGTTGCCGGGCCCCGCGTGGCTTTAGGAAGATTGTCCCCTGCCCGCACGTAAAAATAAAAGAAATAAAAAAAATAAAAAATAAAAATAAAAAAAAAAACACACACACACAAACTTGTGTAATGAGAGGGGTTGCTGATGACCTTGACGTTATAAAGCTACCATAAATAAAAAATGTAAATAATTAAAATTACCTAATTGACTAGAAATTTGTCTTGCTAATGAGAAAGTTAAAACTTAGATATCACCACTTTTTTGTTCTTTAAAATCATTACTATCACTAGAATTATAACCATCATGGTTTTTGTCTCAACCCTTTTCATCTCCACATGAATCATTGTTTCTTTCTTTCTTTTTAGTCGTCTTCCCTCTCTGCGATGTTCTCCAACTTTTTAGGGCTTTGAAAGTTTTGCCCACTGAATTTGAGTTCTTAGTCTCATCTGATGCCAATATCCATGCTTTACACATGTTTCCTTGTGTTATCCTGTCCCTCCTTGTTCCATAACGGCACCGTGAGGTATTCCTCCTGTCCTGTTTTTGTTCATGACCTCTGATTTTTTAACAGTATTTTCACATTCTCAAACAAAGTATATTTGCAATTTGCAATGTTTAATGTTTGTATGATTGAGTTGTGAACTGCAAACTCCTACATCTATGTTGTTTTGTTTCACTGGTAACATTGGAGATAACAGCAAGTTATCAAGTTTATTATTTGTTTCTGTGTTTCGATGTACAATGCATTCACCCATCAATGAGCATTTTTTCATTTCCATCACAAAAAGCAGTTTCACGAGGCAACAAACTGAGTGCATGTGGCCTTGTCTGTGACATCATCTCAGCAATGATTTATATTCACACTTTTTTTACACTTTATGTTTCACTCGATACATTGTTATTCGTTCGAGATTCTCTCTTCTCTTGCCCATTTAAAAAGATCAACTTGAATCACCCGACAAATTCCCAATGCGTTAGAATGCCAAGAATACAACCACAAATATAATTACCTATTCTATACAGTGTGATATTTTTATCATCTTTGCAGCTTATTGTTTAATTACTGTGTTTTGTAACACGGAATGACATGACAATGCTAAAACATAAATCCAACCCAATCTGCGAATTTAAGACAACCCAATTTTCCCGAATGAGAAAAGGGAAAAAATATCATATCTTTAATTTTGATGACATCACACACAGATCCATAGAAGGCAAAAAAAAACTCAGCTTTCAAATTCACACACGTAGTACTTTTGTATGTCCATGCAAGATTCTTCACATACCAATGAAACTGATTGAAAGCAACAAAGTAAAATAAAATTTTGTATACACTTGGCAGGAAACAGCTCCACAGCACTAAAAACCATTGAAAACACGTAAGCACTGCAGCAACTTCCATGTTGCCAAGAGAGACAAAGCTTACAGAATGAGCTTTCCTCAAGACCTGGTAAAATTGGTTACAAAACCCTGCTCCATCCTTTACCATGCTGCCAAAATTGCAATCACCTGGCAGAAAATTTAACACTGTTTCTTACAAGCAAGAACAAACTCATGACAAGGAATGCAGTCTTATTTCACAATAGGTGGGAATCTCCTACAACAGGGTCTCTTGAAAGCAGGAAATAAATGCATTGTTTAATTACAACTGACTTAGAGACTATGAATTTTGCCTTCTATAAGCGGTATTCTCTTATAATGGGGATTCTCTTAATAATTTCACAACAGTGTTTTGCTGAATATTCATACTAAGGCCTTGTAGTACATTTTTCTTGAACTATTATCCAGAAAATGAAACAAGTGAGGGGACTACAATACATAATCCTGAAAGAAATAGGATTGCAGAAAGCACAAACACACAGTTACTGGATGTGGCAAGAATGATACTAACAGGTTATCTATGAGATTTGGGGCTGAAGTTTTTCAGACTGCCGCTTACATACACAGCATTACTCCAATGACAAATATCTTTCAAATACGTATGACAATTAACAATTTTTCAAAAACATTTTACAAATATTTTCGTAACTTACATCCCAAGAAAAGAAGAGGAGAAAAAATAATAGTGTTTATGTCTGTCATTAAAAAAACTGGACAAAATCAATGTATTATATTTCTTACAACTAATGCATGATTAAGGTACTAATTCTAAGTACAATTCTACTTACAGTAAAACTTCATTTATACATTTTACACTTATAAGTTTTTCATGTTTATGCATGAAAAACATATTTCACAACGCTAAATTCCTAAACTTTCCATGTTAAATTATGTCACATTATGTTTTGCATTTATTTATTTTTCACACTTATATGTCCATAATAAAAGTCCTGCCTATATACATACAGATGTAGATAAGCAGTAATTCATAACAAATATGTCATTCTAGAGGAATCTAAGAAATGGGTTTGGTTTTTTGGTGGATAACCCATCATCCTTTCACAGGAACCTGGTACGAACTGTGGAGACTAAACAAAACCGCAAAGTGAATGATGCTAGTGCCCACCAGTGACCCGAGCTTGAGCGTGTAATATTAGCGTGTTGCCCAGTACAGCTTTGGGTAATGTTTGTCAACATTGCACAGTAAACATCAGGCCTATTTGTATGAAATGTGGGAACCAAGTAATGAGGGCTATTATGGGTCAGTTTCACATTTTGAGAGGATAAATTCATACTTTAGGCACAGAGAAAAGCAAATGACCTAAGATCAGATGTTTTTCAAAAGTGAGAACTTTCTTTCTTGAAAATGTTATGTATTTAGAATATTGTAAGCATATTATTTCCTAACACAACAGTCTAAATACTGAGTTGTTATTTGCTCTTGGATTTTCTTCATGTTAAGGGTTTTTCTCACCTACACATTTTTTTTTTAAGTCCTCCGTAAAATGTATAAATGAAGTTTACTGTAGTTTATTAATCCTTGACATGGACATAACTTGTTTTTGTAAGATGGTTTTGCCTGTGCAACAACGATTTTCAACATTTCAAAAACGGTTCGGTCTTCTAAAGGCACTGGCATGTTCAGTACAGAACCACCGAGACACTTTTCTATGACTCTTTCTGAGACTTTTGTCTTTAACATATAATAAAGTCATTACAATTTAGCATATTTTGGTCATTATAATTTAGCATACCTTGGATAGTTGAGTTGTAGAAACCGGTTTCACTCTGATTTTGGTAGTAGATCTAGGAGAAACTTTGTATTGATTGGAAATACTGGATGCTTTTTGAGCTACTTTGTGAGGAGCAGGGCTTGTTGGTTTCAAAAGATCACTTGATTTACTACTGGCCTGAATCAAAAAAGAAAATTATCGTTCAAAACCAGGGTATGAAAAATCAAATCCCATCACTAAATGACAATTCACATCAAATAACATAAAACAATGTACCAGTGATGAAGTTACACACCATACGAATATATTACAGTAGTATTTTTAACAAGTTGGACACAATTATGCTTATTACACATCCATAATAAATTAAAATGTTAATTTTAGAGATTAAATCACAGTTGATATTTTCAGTTGTAATGTGATCACATTTGTTGACATATTTATTTACCTCTGCTGAGAACTGCACATCTTTAATTGCAACTACTGATGTAATGAAGTCTTTAAGATGAAGAAACTGTAGTACTCACTTGTTACAAATAATGTTACAAATTTTGCAACAAATATTACAAAAATTGCAACTGCATAAAAAGTAAATATCTCTAAATATTTTCTGCAAGGCTGTTAATCATGCATATCTATCATAGCAAATTGATTAATAACATCTAACATGTGGTTAGATTACCATAGGTAGGTAATATATAACTCAATTCATAAATTTGACATTTTGTTTTAATGGACTTTTTTGCTAAGATTCTAATTTTGCTAATGTGAATTGAATCTAAATCTTATTGTTTCTTAATAAGCACAAACACAGGTCTGAAAAATTTCTGCCAATAGTAGGGTTCCGATTTATCGATTATGGTTTTGTGTGAATTATTAGACTACTGCAACACTAATCCTATGACAACTATATATCATCACCACCTTTTTAATCAGTCTGTACATACTATCCGTGGAATCCATTGGCCAAAAGGTGGTTCGACCCTTTATAAACCTTACCAAAAAACTAAAGAATCAAACTGTAATTATAATAATAACGATAATGATAGTGATAAAGATAGTATTAATTGCAATAGTGATAGTTATAGAAATGGTGATGGTAATGTTATTGATGATAACAAAAATGACGCTGCAAATAAAGGTAATATTATAAATAGTGATAAGCATGTGTGGAAAATACCAAATATAACCAAGCCTTATAAATTTGCCACACGGAACAAAAGAAGTTTATACACAGGGAAAATACAAGTTATTATAGATGTATTGAACAGGACAAAAATTGACTTATTAGGCCTAAGTGATGTCAGATGGCAAGGAAGTGGGTACTTTATAATAGAAGACAAAATGGTATTTTACACAGGGCAAGAGGAAAGTCAAAGAAATGGAATGGCTATTATTTTTAGTCAGAATTTGGCTAAGGCAGTTCTTGGATATGAAGCAATCAGTGATGGGATAATAAGCATAAGAGTTAAAGCAAACCCAGTTAATGTAACTATCATCCAATTATATGTACCTATCTCTGACACAAGTGGTGATGAACTAGTGATTCTACGATCATGTGCAGGAAACTTACAACTAAATACCAAAAAATGATTTTGTACTAATTTTGGGCAATTGGAATGCCAAAGTTGGGCAGGAAGAAACAAAATATATTACAGAGAAATTTGGTTTAGAAAGAAGAAACAGTGGGGGGAGATGAATATATTTCTGTGCATGCAATAGCATGTTTATAGCAAACACAATGTTTAAGAAAGAGAAACGTACATCTTCAAATAGCAGATATAAGAAACAAATTTACTATACCATGGGAAAATGTAGATGGAGATCATCTATACAGGATATCACCACAATACCTGATGAGGACTGTGGAACAGATCATGAACTGTTGATAGCAAAAATAGTATGATTGAAGGTAACAAAGAAGAGCGAAGGACCTAAAGTCAGTTACATAGTCCAAAACATTCCAAATACATAAGGAAACTATCTCAAGGAGGGTGATCAGAACTAGCAGTGTTCAAGAGGACTCGCTAACACTTTGGGAGTCTATTAAAGAAGTAATCCTTGAAGAGGCAATAAAGCACATCAAAAGACACAAAAACGGAACCAATGAAGCTGGTTATCTAAGGAATGGCTGAAGAAAGAAGGAAAGCACAGCAATTAGGGGATTGGGAGAAAGTATATGTGCTTATCACAAGATTTCAATAAAAAGCAAGGAAAGATGAGGCAAAATTCATAAACAATAAGTGTAAGGAAGCTGAAACATATAACACAAAGTCAGCAGCAAAAGAAATGTTTCAGATTATAAGAGACATCGCAAAAGAACTCAAACCAAGAGTAGGAGCAGTAAAAGACAAAAATTGCATTATTCTACCTTCAAAGCAAGGGATAACTAAAAGATGGCAGGAATATACACAACAGCTGCAGGAAAGGGATTCACGTATTGACAAACATTTCCATACAAAGAGTTTTAAAGAGAACCAATGACACTAAAAGAAGTCGTATAGGCCCTTAAACGAAGAATGGTAAATCTCCTGGACCAGAAGACATACCTATCGAAATGATAAAATGTGCAGGTGACGCAATTATAGGAAGAATATTAAATCTTTGCAACCTGATATTGAAAAAGGAAGAATGACCAGTGGATTGGCAGAGAACGAGTTTCATTCCCTTACCAAAGAAATGAGATACTCAGGAATGTGTTATCACTAGAAAGATAGCACAGTCAAGTCGTGTAAGCAAGATCATGCTGAAAATAATAAATAATAGGCTAGAACCTTTTATAGAAAGAAAACTGTCAAAACAACAAGCTGGTTTTAGAAAGGGCAGGGGAACCAGGGATCAGATAGCAAACCTAAGATGGATAAAGGAAGAGAGCAGAGAATTCCAAAAAAACCTATATTTATGCTTTTTGGAGTATTCTAAAGCATTCGACTGAGTGGACTATGATCTGTTATGAAGTACTTTAACAAACATGAGCATACCAGGACACAATAATTCTACTAAGACAACTATATATAGAACAAGAAGTGAGGGCGAAATTAGCAGAAGCAACAACTGAGTGGTTTAAAGTTAGCAAGGGATGCATTCTCTCCCACAGATTGTTCAATCTGTACACGGAAATGATCATGAGAACAACTAAATTGGATGAAATGAATATTGGAGTAAGAATTGGAACACACAGAATCAACAATATTCGATATTCAGATGATACTACGCTACTTGCAGAGGACAGGAGAGGTTTAGAGAAACTATTAGAGTGACAGAAGAAACTCAGAAAGCAGGACTCAAGCTTAATTTGCAAAATGCCCAAATTCAATGACAATAGGACAGAAAGAGAAAATACAGATAAATGATGAAGAAATAAAAACTCCAAACAAGGTAGTAATTAGAGTAAGTGGGAGTAATTAGAGCAAAAGATGGACGATGTACTGAGAAATTAAAAGAATTATTTTGGGAAAGGCAGCCATGAGAAAATGTTTCAAATTCATTAAAGATTCCGGCTTATCGATTAAGACTAAATCTAAACTAATTAAAACAATGATTTTTCCAATAGTTTTATGGCTCCAAAAGCTGGACTTCAAATCTATAGACAAAAAGATAGATGCATTTGAAATGAGGTGCTGACAGAAAATACTGAAAACTCACAGAAGAACAAACCTGTCTATATTGGAAGAAATGAAGCTGGGTTACTCTTTAGAAGCCATAGCTGTCACGCAGAAATTATCATTCTTTGGACACATTGCAAGAACGGAATGACTGAAAAAGGACATAACGTTAGAAAGAAAGGACGGAACTAAGAGATCAGGAAGAAAGAGAATAAGATGGGACGTGGAAATTAAAAAGGCAATCAACTTGACTTTGATAGAAGCAATGAGAATCACACTAAGCAGAACAGTTTGCAGGAAACTTACAAGTGACAACAGTTGTTGGTGTACTAATTAGTGTAATTGTTGTATAATGGTAGCTAGACTTCATAAGATCTGGGTTATATTAGGTTAGATCACGGCACTTTTGGGAAGGGACGGGAGGAAGTGTCCCTAGTTATGCACTTTTTCGTGCTTTGGTCTGAAAAGGGTTAAAATGATTTATATCAATTCTTCTTTTTCTTTATTTTTTGATTTTGGTCCTGTAACAGGAACACATTCTACTGCATTCTCATTTTATCTTACTGAAGATGTATTATTACTTACAGGCAACAGGTTGCGGAAAAGAGGAGTATCTCCAAATGGCATAGTTGCCAGGGCTAACATCTGTTCATGAACAGATATGTTTCCTTGTTGACTGGGAGTGGTATTCGTTGCAGTCCTGATAAAAGAAAAAAATGTGTCTCATTTTAATTAAATTATTCATACTAATCACATTTAGCATGTTAAAACTCTTTATCCAACTTACCCTCCCAATAAAGATTGTCCTCCAAGACCCCAAGATGAACCAAGACTTGTACCCATCCCAAATGTTGAGGTAGAAGAGCCAAAACCAGTAGTTCCACCTCCAAACATGCTTGTCCCTGTCCCAAACATACTTCCAGGTTTATTTCCAGTAGTCCCAAACATCGTCTGACCTCCTACTCCAGTTCCTGAAATTCCAATTTTATGTACAATGAAATACTCAACCTATTGATTTAATTTACACAAACCAAACAAAATTAATTCAATTTTACCTAATGTTGAAGTTGCAGGAGTTGACTGGTTACCAAAGGAAAAATTATTTGGCTTACCAAATGCAGACTGGTTAAAGAGACCTGCATTTTGATTAGATCCAAACATATTAGCACCTCCAAAAGCACTATTTGTTCCAAAATTTGATCCAAATCCAGTTCCAGTACCAGTAGGTTTTCCAAATATACTCTGAGTCTGATTAGTGGCAGTATTTTGACCGAAAGTAAATCCTGTGCTGGTAGTGTTCACAGTAAATGGTGATTTGTTTTGATTGAAGAGACCAATACTCTACAATACAAACACATTCAATGATATCAAAATTAATTTTAAAAATTAATAAAAGAATGACTTGGTAGAAAAAACAAGAACATAACAAATGAAAAACTAGTTAATACAGATAACAGTTGTGTATATCACTAGAAAATTCAATTAACTAACTGTAGCATACTTGAGAACAGAAATTGGAGATTTCTGTTTTTCATTACTGTAAAATATTTCTTGATCTCTTATGTACGGAGCACTTACAATGTCAGTTACATTATATACTACTATGATTTCAGAGATACAAAGTATTCAGTAGTTAAATAAAGAAAAAATAATTTTCTATTTATTTTAAATACAATCAGTGAAAATGATAATGTGGCAGCTGGGCAAACTTATAGCTAATATAAATTAACATTGTTCAGGATTTATCCTGAAACCAGGCTTGAAAGCATGCAACCAAGAATTATTACTTACGTAAGTTAGTTATGTACAGTGTACCTTCTATTTCAAAGTATCTCAAATGTAATTACATATGGATATTTTTTTCAATTTTTCTTTATAAGTTCCAATACACACTGTGAATATGTATTTACTTTCATACTCAATAACCACCACATACAACTCAATAAAATTTTATGATGCTTGAAAATATTAAGAGAAATAGTACTCTACCTGATTTGGTTGGCTGGCAAAAACACCAAATCCAGTGTTCTGGGTACCGAAGGCAGAAGGTTGTGATGGTGTTGCTCCGAAAAGACTTGTTTGTGGTGCAACCGCTGAAAAGAAATTCAATACGGAGTATTAGCATAATCACTTTTTCCATGAAGTATATAAAATGATAAGTAAAATAAACAAGACACCTCTCAATCAAAAACTATAATGATTCTACAAGAATATATGTTGTTTCCAGACATTGTAAGGCAAGTAATCAGTATATCCAGAAAAAAATGCTATGCCCACAAAATATAAATAGCCTAATGTTAGGTGTCCAGATAATTTTTCAGAAGTAAATTTCAATTAAAAATTTGTTTTTCGGGTTTTCTATCTATAAATAACAGAAATGCAAAGCCCACAAAAAAGAAGTAACTTGTGAGGCTACGAGATATGAGAAAATTGAAAATGTTAAAGATAGGTTGATTTATTATTTATTTATTTATTTACTTATTCATTCATTAAACAGGCAATCACCTAAAATACAATATGTTACAAAACATGTAGTGTTAATATCAATTAAATACATTTAAGTATTTAATTCCAGTAAATCTAATAAAGTTTGTTTCCTTTGATTTTGTTAACTTTGTTTATTATAATCAATAAGGTTATTAATCAATTAATACATACATATGGTAAATCAAAGATAACTCTTAGATCTTTAAAGTCAGATAGTAATTCAAATTTCTCATTACCTATAAAGTATTGAAATTCTATTTGAAACTTTTGTCTCTAATACAACATTACTTTAAATTATTTTACATTTACAGCTAGATCATTCTTCTCAACTAGTTAAGAAATTCAAGCATTCTCATAATTCTTTACAATCATTATCGGTTTTGATCTCATTATATATTCTTCAGTCATTGGCAAATAGTAAGAATTTAGTATATAACAAGAGTTTGAGTTTATTTATATAGACAAAAATAATAAATGGGCTAGGTGTGAGCCATGAGGTTGTGTTTCACGTTTTGAGTTCTCATCATTAGATAAGATTTCATCCACTTCAACAATGTACCATGAAGACCAATATGGATAAGTTTTTGTAATAAAATGTTTATATTCACTTTACCAAATGCCTTGGTAAAATCAGAATATGTAACATCAAGGTTGTAAATTTTATCAATTACATAGTGATGCAATCTCAAAAAATTAGTTGTAGTTGATCTCTTGACTTCAAAAGCTGTTAATCATCCATAATAATATTATTTATGAGAGATGAAATGTTGGATTTAACAATGGATTCAAATATTTTCTGAATGGTGCTCATTAATAACATTGATCTATAGTTTCTGATATTTGAATGGTTTTCAGATTTATAAATCAGAGAAACAAAACTTTTATTCAAGATTTGTGCAAAGTTGCCTTCATAGAGAGATTTGGAGAAAAGTATAAGTAACATCAGTGTGATGTTGGTAATACAAGATTTTAAGAATGATTATGGTACAAGATTTGGTCCAATTCCTTTGTTAACTTTCAATTTACTAACAGCATTGCATTCTTCTGTGTAATTTTCAGATTACTGATATTGCTTGAAGTATTAACAAAGTGATTCTCGATATAACAATTTGAACGATCATTTGATAATACACTGAAAATATTCAGCATTCAATTTATATATATAGTTTTACAAAATCGCCACTATTAGCAGCTTGTTTACCATCTAAAAACATTTGAGTAGTCCTGTAACTCCTCTTATCGTTTGAATATTTCCATAAGGATTTAGATTAAGATTTATTCAGTCCAAAAAACAGTAAAAACTGAATGTCACATAGGGGGGAAAAGATTATCTGCGCACATTTTCTTGAGTTCTAGAATCTCTTCCCATCATCTTAACTATAAATAGTTGAAAGATGAGTAAAAGTTTAACATGAATAAATAAAAATAAATTTTAAAAATCGCAAGATTAGTAATATGTGAAAAATAGTCATTATCGTTTCTGAGTTATAGAAAACTTATTTGCATTAGGATACAAATTGCAAGTATGATTTTTCTGCATTGTTAACAAAATAGCAAATCGCCCTTACCTCTACTCTTACCATTACAAGCAAAAGAAAAGTTCAACAAAACTTGTGCATAGTGAAGATAATTCATACAATTAAGCAATACTTTACATATTTGGATTTCATTATTTGCTGCATTTGGATATTTACATTACAGACTAACATCATTCTTCCAATTAGTATGGGGTAAATCAATGTCTCCTAATATAAGAAAGCTAAATTCAGAATATCTTTGAAAAAGATTTTCCAAAGTCTGTAAATTTCAAATAAGCTCCCATAGAAGATTTGGGAGGAAAGTAAACCACAATAACTATAACATCAATACAGTGTTTGACGTGTATAAATAAATGTTCAATCAAAGTGTTTTAGGTTTCTATACACATACTATTGTAATTGTTCTTATTTAATGCCGCTACACCTCCACCTCGAAGATGTTGGCTAGCTGCTGATGATATATCCTATTTGTAGATGATGTCATTGATAAAGTTGAGTTCAGCACCAGAGATGTCCTCTTAAAGCCAGGTTTCACTGATGTCAGTGTTGTTCAGTGAAGTTGAGGTACCATGGAGAGTGGACAGTTTATTACATAATTCTCTGACATTTTGGTAGTACACAGATAATGTAATAGATTGCCTGATTGCTATAGATGTTTTCCAGATTAACAGTTATATTGTAGTTGCTCATCGTACATCATTGTTTTCTTCAGGTCCTTTCCCCTCACTGTTGATATTTGTTATTAATAAGAGAAGTCCATTAATATATTTAATTTTTGCTTCCTTGTTACCTTCATTAACATCAATTTTCAACTCATCAAGTACTCTTAAGATGTTCTCTTTGATGTTTCATGCGATCAGGGCTTATTTTGATAGGTTTCTTGTAGGGTTTTTTTCCAGGATTTGTAAAGCTTCAGCTTGATTATTCAATATCACCTCCATTGGTCTTGCAGTTCCATCATTTGGGGCACCAAGTCACAAAACTGACACTCTCTTGGCATCGGTCTTGATATTTGTTATTTATTATGCTGATACCACTTGTTTGTCATCAAACAAGCACTGTTGCAGTGTGGCATGTTTACTTTCTCCAATGCCGTAAATGATAGTTTTCACACGTTCTTCTCTGTCATAAAATTCCAAATAAAATGTTTCAAAATCACTCGTGTGCATGTTGCTAATGGATGAACTACTGGATTTCTTGAGCTCACGAATCGGGCAAACAAGATTTTCATTTGCTTTCAACAACCCATCAACAATTACTTTCCAATTCAGAAATGTACTATTCATAATGGTATAGTTATCAATTTCATCAATGTACACTGAGCAGTAATATTTCACTTGCCTCTTAGTTCTTTTAAGAACAAATACTTTGACTTCAGAACTTGAGAGTGAGGTGCAGTTAGGGTAAAATTTTGATTTACACTTGTCACATTCGATATAATCAGCTTGTCTGGATTTAATATGAATTTGGATGGTTATACTATTCCATTTCTCATTACCATAAGTCAGCAACATCTGGAATGCACGGAAAATTTGTGAAATAATATACACAAGTCTCCGTTTAATCGAAGATATAAATTTAAAATTTGGTTGATAAACAAAATCACAAGTGTGAAATCAGTGGTGCAATTATCACCACCAATTCCACCACTTCAGCAAAAGATGAAAAAATAATGAGTCATTATTATTAAATATTGTGTCTCATTTTCATTGGATCCCTTTTACAGTACTTTTCTTATTCACAAAGTCCCGGGTGAGTTATTTCGTATATAATTCTTTCAAAACATTTAGAACAGGTTTCAAAAGAACTTTGAGGAAATTTTAAGATATCTTCAAATTTTTAGACTATTAAATTTTTACCAATAATCAGAAGTAATATAATTAAAACATTTTGATATGAAATGATTAAAGGTAACTTGAAGAACAGCTCAAAAAATCCAATCAAATTTAAAAAGTTATTTAAAATTTGGAGTATTTTAAAGAATTACTCAAATAAAATTACAAAAATATTACTGTCTCTTCAATAGTTGAAGGTAAGCCAACTAAACTTTGTGCACATCTTTTAATTTATATCTTCAGTAATTATGTCAATTTGGAGTGATTTGGATGGATATTATTTTAGTTTATTTTTCCTCAATGTGTTCCCATAGTAATAAAGAACTATCAAACAATATCTTCATTGTGTATTTTTTTTCTTTCTTTTCTTTTTAAATCATTAGTAGTCATCTCTGTATCTATTTATTAATGGCAGCAGCTGAAGCTGATACACACATATCAAATTACAATTAAAACTATCTGTGACTAAATCTCATCATGTACAACTACACTCAAATTTAATATGAATCCTATTACAATTGGCGATTTGCTTTATCCAATTAACAATGGTATACTCATCAAGAAAGAACATGGTCCAGTCTCTCCTTAAAGGAGTCAAAACATCCTGGTTGAAAGAATCATGAGGGACACATTCCAACTGTTGATGACAAAGAGCCTTGGAGCTCCAGTTTGCTCATTCTCCTTCCAACGCTTAAGACGATGCCCTCTAATTCTGTCAGTGGCCCAGATGAAGATCCCATTCCAGTTTTGGATGTTGCAGGGTTGGGTAAAATACTTCAAATTTAGTACTTAATATACTTCACCAAAATACTTTATAAATAAGAATTTAAATATGTACGTATACATAGTATTTAAATTGCAACATTTGCCTAATAACAGTTTTACAATTTATTTTAATAAATCCATACAGAAAGGTTTTTTTCCAATTGTACGGAAATATAGTTATGTTACTCCACTATTCAAATCTGGGAATAGAGCATGGATTGTAAATTGTACACCTATATGTAATATTAGTGTTATAATGAAACTGTTCAAGGCTATTGTCACTGAGAAGATGACGAAGCAGGTGGGCCCAGTATTGGTTGATGAACAACACTGTTAAGTCAAAAGGATCAATGACTACTAATTTGATAACTTTAGCAATATATTAAGGAGAAATTAGAAGAAAGGTCCCTGGTTGATGTACATTGCAAAAGTGTTTGATTCTGTTGATCATAGTATTTTATTATTATA